AGAGAGAGCCAATGGGCAGTCCCAGGATGGAGTCTGAATCAACAAGGAACCTACACCTAGAGCCTCAACATCACCAGGGAACTTGGCTGAAGGAGACTGGAAATCTGGGGAGACATGAGCCAGAAGTGACTGGAGCCACTGGCTCTGCCAATGGATCCACATGGTGCCATGTGCAGAAGAASTTCTCACAGAGAAAAGTTAAAGCACAACACTAGTTGTGACCTGCTCTGATCACCAGGTCAGAAATTTTGTTGTCTTGCATCAAAGTGCTCAAACCCAAGTGGTCAGAATTAGTTATAGTCCAGATCTTCTGATTTACACCCAGCCTCACTGCGTATGGATTCTGAACAGCTTTATTTGAAAAGGGAGGAAAGTCTGGACACACTTTCCAGACAGGTAGAAGGGGAAATGAGCATGGTGGCCAGGCAGGAGAAGGCCTCACCAACGACCCAGGGGTCACTCTGCTGTCTACACAGAGCAGGGAGGAGGTCTCCATCTTAAGACCTATCCCTAGATCTGATCTGTGTCTACTTCATGTTTTCCAGGCATCTGTGGGGACTGGAAGAATCACCTCACAGTGGCCCAAGCTGAAGCCTTGGATAAATTATACCAAGAGAAGATGTTGGGTTTCCCCAAAGAGCTGTTCCCATGGGAKTAGTGTCCAAAAATTCTGGATCTTTTATAAATACTAACATTGTTTCCTGTCTTGGGATATTTACAGGATTGGGAGGTTCTTAATATAAAAAACCATTCTATGAGAAAAGGAAGGAAAAGATAGGATAACATAAAGAAGCAATGAAATATAAAATAATAGATGAGCAAAAGGAAGTCTAGTTGGTCAGAGGAAGGAGAATGGGTAAGGGGGTACACAGGAGAGAAAGAGGGATCGTGACATAAAATTGATTGCATGGATTACTTTTTACTGAAGAACTCAACACTATGTATAACAATACAGCTGTGTCAAAAAAAAAAAACCAATTTGCCATTCTGCTTACTTGAATTATATGTTTTTCTTCTCTAATCACTTGCCTGTTAAAAATTACTAGAATTTCCCTAGTTACTTCACCACATCCCAGCTTTTGAATAATCTTACTAATATTTCAAACACATAGAGGCCTACAAAAATAAAATGGATATCCCACCATTGTGTCTCATTTTTAAAACAAGAAATAAAATTTAGAACCAGTTGAGGTTCCTTTCTATTACTTGTGTCTCCTGAATTTATTATGATGATGATCTGGAAGAGTGAAATTTACAACACAAATTTATTTTCATTCCCTATGGTTTTTACAGCATAAAAAAAAAAAACAAGTGCTATGTTTAGAACTTTAAAAACATATGTAAATGGACCTGAAATAAAAGGATAATTTGACCTCAGTGTACCCAAGTTATCTCATCCCGAGTACAGCAAAATAAATACAGCACAATAAAGTGAAGTAAGACAATGGGCCAAGCAGGCTTCGGGAGCGCCACCTACAGGTCTCCGGTTCTGGTGCCTGCTGCCCACTCCCAGCCCAGTCCTGCTTCCCTCCCTCTCTTCCTTCAGCACCTGGGCTCCCTCTCATGGCCTTGTGGTGAGAGCCTCCCATCTTCCTTGGCTTCCTAGCTGAAGAACCTCAATCCTTCTCATTCCCCAAGAGCTTGGCCTCAAATTCTGGCCTCTTTTGAGAGTGAAGTAAATGAATTTATTCCAGTGACTGTTCTGTTTTCAAGTAGTGAWGAGTTTCCTTCTTTAAGAACTTCTAATGTGCTGATTATCTGGGCTTGGTGTAGCTTTTTCCTTTGTCTTGTACCTGTGTGGTCCAGGATGTGATCAGAGGCCTGATGGCAGTCTTCATTGTTARTTCAGGCTCCTCTTACAGCCACTCACTGTATCCAAGCTCTGAATATGGACAACTAAGAGGTAGCACCATGGAGAATGYCTTGCTTTATRCAATTTGCCTGCTGTGTCTTCCATGGCATTTATTTTTGGTAAAATCAAACAAGCAGTAAACCCTTTCCTTCATGATGTTGATAGGTCAGTACTTTGGGCTGACTAAAAAGAATGACCCATGAATTCCTGAATTATCATAGCTATATTCATATTCTCTCTCTCTCTCTCTCTCTCTCTCTCTCTCTCTCTCTCTCTCTCTCTTTCTCTCTCTGTTTCTCTCCCTCTCTCCCTCCAACCATGTCCCCCTATCTCCCATCTCTAGCCCCTCTCCTCCCTCCCTACCTCCCTCCATCCTCTCTCTCTGTTCCCTCTTCCTCTCTCTCTGGATTTACATAGCCACAATCTGAATAAGTTCCCCCACTGTTGAGAACAAAGGCAAGTATTACCCCAATTACCTCAAACTCTGACCCKTTCAACAGAAGGATATTATGCAGAAACCAATAGAACTAAAGTTAGAAACAGGTAAAAGCACTAAAATTCATCATAAATGAAGATGTGATTCAAAGGACTGCCACCATATTCACAATCATCAAATTTAAGAAGGAATATAGACATAGTGATGCAAGAAGAAAAGAAAACTATGTTTAAAAATAAACACCCTTTTAGAAAATGATTATATATAGAAGATAGACATAGAAATAATTGCAATTTCTAAAAAAGAACCCAAAGTTTCTCAACAAGAGACAATTCATAAGATAACAAAGATAATGCATTCCACTATTTTCATGTATGAAAAAAGTAAAAAAAAAAAAGATCTTATCCTGATATATCCATAGAGCAAACATTAAAGGGAAACATTTACCCTGAATAGTCAATGCTGATTCATATCCAAGTAAAAGTATGTATCTTGAAGCACCTGAGAACTCTTAGCTTTCCCAAAGGACAAAGTTATAAATAACCCTTACTTCTAACTTCTAACTAATTGGACACATATGGTGCATTACTGTTGACCATATGGCACACTGTGCCATGGAACACCAGGACATATTTCTCCAGTCTACCTGTAAAACCGTACCCACTGACCAAACTTCCTCGTCCTCTGCTCCTTACTATCCCTTACCTTCTGCTGTTCCGATGTCATCTTTTCTATATGCCATTACAAGTGTAGTATGGGCTTTTCTGAGACTGATTGATGTCATTTATAATGTCCTGCATGTCCATCCATGCTGCCCTAAGAAATAGCATTGTGTGCCTGCCTTCCTTAGACTGACCAAATTGCATTACTTATATGTACCACACTCTATTTTTCCATTCAACAYTTAACAGACATTTAGCTACCAATTTTATCAGATTTCAAATATGTCATACTAAGATTTAGTGGCAGAAAACAGTGCGGAAAATGCTATGAAACTATTCATATAAGTGTGTGCACCAATAAGTTTTTAAAATTTATTTTTTAGTTGTAGTTGGACACAATATCTTTATTTTATCTATTGATTTTTATGTGGTGCTGAGGACCGAGCCCAGGGCCTCACACATGCTCCATGAGTGCTCTACCACTGAGCCAACCCTACCTCTGCACCAACAACTCTATACCCAGCCAAGCTGTCCATCCAGTATAAAGGGTCCAGACAAAATTATGCACAATATAAATCTCAGTAATTGTTCTCACATGCTTTTCTGGAGGAATCCACTAGGCATCAACACACTGTTCTCTCTCCATAAATAAAATACAGCTTTACCTGGATAGATACCAAGACCCAAAAAGAGTGTAGTTGGTTAACAAAATTAGTAAATTCTGTCCACACAACTACAATGTCATAAGACTTAGCTCATGCCAGAATAAGATGACATGAAATTTTGATCCCCAACACATATTTACCAGCAGGAAGAACTTAGAATGGTTGATTAATTTTTAGGACAAAGTTCCTCCATCAATAAAGTGGGTTCATACATTTGGAGGTCGTATGAAGTTTGGGGATTTTGATTTATAGTAGAATTGTTTTACAATGTTCATTTTATTGTTATTGGTTGTAGTAATAGGAGCAAGATTGCCAACAATGCTAAATAAAACTCTTTCTTAGCACTCAATATGTGCTAGATATTTTTTTATTGCTGCCACATTGTATCACGGATAGTACAACTAATTTATGAGTAAGTTTCTATTGTAATTGCTTTATGAAAAGTAAAGTAGGGCACAAAGCAGTATACACTGCACAGTAAATATAGAAGCTAACAGTTCAACCCTAAGAGACTGACCACAGAGAGAGCATCTGTAAAATTAGTAATTACTTAAGATGATGATATTACTCAGTGGCAGAAGTGACAATCAAATTCTGTTTTATTGAAACAGCATCACAGGGATTTCTATCAAACTAAACATAGTATAAACAAAATATGTGTATTTTTTAAAAAATTTTCCATGACGAAATGGAAAACCCTCCCACATCACAAAAATAAAGGCATTGGAAAGAGTTATCCAAGCAGCCCACACAGAGGGATCTATTGTGCATTAGGATTGCACAGAATACTTGGGCTTGTGGTGATGTCTTCATGCATGCRCAGAGCGTAATGAGGTCTGCTTCACTGCTGGACCAAGCTTTCCCCTTCCATCCACTCCTCCCTTCCGTGATTCATTCCCAAGACTCTCCTGTCTCTTTCATTTACCTTTGTACTGTCTCTGCTATTTTCTTTTTTCCTTCAACCTTCTACATATGATATGAAATATATGACCATTGTCTTTCTAAGTCTGTCTTATTATACTTAAAAAACGATTTCCATTTTTATCCATTTTCCTACAAATGGTATAACTTTGTTCCTCTTTATGGCTGAACAAAGCTTCCTGATGAATATATACCACATTTATTATGCCCTCATCAGTTGACAAATTGATTTCTTTAACTTACTTATTGTGAATCTCACTGGTATAAACTTGGGTGTGCATGGACTGTGGTATAGTATGATGACTGGAATTCTTTTGAATAATACCACAGACAGAACTGGGTAATGTGGTGGTACCCTTTCTAGTGTTTGATGAATCTCCATTCCTATCCTCATACTGGTTGTGCAAACTTCTAATTGCACCAACAGTGCCTAAATTTCCCTTCTCCCATGTTTTCGCCAGTATTTATTATTATTTTTGATACTTAACATTCTAACTGAAGATGAATTCTTATTGGTTTTTATAGAATATTGAATATTGTTTCATATATTTGTGGGCCATCTGTATTTCTTCTTGTGAGAAACGTATTTGCCCATGTATTGATTGGCATAATTGTGTTTTTTAAATATTTAATGGATTATTAGAATTGTAATGCATTCCACTGTCATGTATTCAAAAAATAATCGTGTTTTTGGTGTTAAGTTTTTTTGAGTTCTTATTACATTCTGTCAGAAGAGTAGCTGGCAAAGATCTTCTCCCATTCTTTAGTATCTTACTTCACATACTTGCTTCCATTGCTGTGCAGACTCTTTTACTTTGGTATCTTTCTGTTAATCTTTGTTCTATTTTCTAAATTTTAGGTGTATTATTGAGGAAGTCAATGCCTGCCACTATAGTCAGAGACATGACCCCATGCCTTCTTCTGGTGGTTAAAGAGTTTCTCTTCAAATTCAAGGTCTTCAGCCAATTTTGGGTTGACTTTTATATTAAGATGAAATCCAGGGATCTACTTCATCCCTGTATTGTGGAATCTCCCTGGTTCATATGGTTGAACAGCCCCAGTAGATGAACTCCTTGTAGAACAAATTGTAAATCGTACAGTTAGACCCTCATCAGCCACCAAGGATAACTGCAGACCATATGCAGCATGCACACGAGGGGCACTAGGCATAACTGTAGCCAGTGGAGTCACCCAGGACCACTGTCGTCCAGTGGATCCTGGATTCTGCTGTCACTCAGACATAACAGTTGTCCAAGGACAGGGCATGGACTAAAGTTGAGTCTATGGAATCTGGCAACACTGTGTGATCAAGCAGAGAGCTTGAACTTGGGTCACAAATGGGGACAAGTTTAGGCAATTGTGTGCTTCAAAGGCACTTTATATCAAAGGGTCAACACAATCCTGACACATGAACTTATTCCAGAAAATTGACAATTTTACCAGGAGAACTGAAAAT